AACCTGGAAAGTAACGCCAAGTACGCTGTGTGAAATGCAAATGCCAGAAAAAGAAGAGAATCCTCCACATCGTAGACCAAATCGATGCCACCGAGTCAACTGCATCTAGCTAGTGACCCTCCTCACCCACAGGGCGCTCCCGTTCGAGTTCGGATCATCCCTCTCCCTCTTCTTCCACGCGCGATGCAACTTGAGGCCAACATCATGCTCCTCCCTGCGAATCTCATCCAACTCCTCTTGAAACGCTTTCTTCCTCTCTTCCGCGACCCGAGCCTTCTTAAAGTCGGTAAGCAGCGGGTTAGGCGGCGCAGCATTGTTCAAGTCCTTGAGCAAACGATACACGTTGTTGCGACGGATGCGTAGATCTTCTTGCTGCGATTCCAAGTAGGCGATGTGGTCGATGGCACTGAGTTGGGAAGGAGGTAGCGGAAGCGCCTTTTGTGATTTTTGTGATGAGTTGGAGAAGGTGGAGGAGGCGTAAGGGGATCTCGGGCTGGGGGTGTAGACTTTGGCCATGGGTGCGGGTTCCCTGTCTAAGGGGGGTACTGGGCGGCGACGGTTTAGGATCGAGGAAGCGGCCGATATGGGCTCGGTTACAACGCGCTTTCCTTGCGAGGACGAGAGTCCGTTGGGCGGTGAAGGTGGTGGTGAGTGTTGGTATGTCCCTGCACTGTTGTAGGTAGTCCACGAAAACCGGCTGATGGGTGCGTGCTTGTCCTTCTCTGACGTCTCTTTGTTGTATGGCGGCGTCGCAGTCCGCAAGGTGGGGTACAACGTCTGTTCTACTGGCTCTACGGTGGCCGGGGACTGGTTCAGTTGAGTGCGATTGGTTGGTGTGATGGGGCTCGGGTACGATGTGCTTATACCGAGACCTGCTGAAGGTGAGGTTGGAGAGATGTGACCGCTTCGAAGAGGCGTGTTCTTCCCTACTTTGAGCGGGACAATGGGTTTAATGCCGTCGTTGTAACGCATATCGTTATCGCGTGGATCCTTGGGCGCCATTTCGGTTGTTACAGTTTGAGTGTCAGGCAGCTTGGGTGCGGAATCAATGGCAGCTGCAAGCGCGTTTGACCTCGCTTGGTCCGTGCTTGGTGAAATCGTCTTGCGTGGTATTTGAAGTGGTTTGTCTGCAGGCTGGTATTTGAGCGGAGGAGCGATTTCTGATCGTCCCGTCGCTCGGCTCCACGGCTCCACGGGCGGTGGTGAGCGCTTCGACCCGAAGCGGCCAACGCGCTCCCCAAAACTTGTGTTCTTTTTCTCAGGACCACTGACTGAAACCTGATACCCCATGGGCCTAGGGTCTGATGACGGCACACCTTTCGCATAAGAGCCTGGATCGACTGAAGCGGCCTTCCCTGCACTATTAGGCTCGCCTGAATACTCATCCCACTTCACTTTCGCATTTGGCGCAAGCTTGCCCTCCCAGAACTTCTGCTTGGGTGCTGGTGGAGCGTCACCATTCCGAAGGACAGACGGCGCTCTGCGTAGGACGGGGATCTGGCTGCCCGCGCGGGAATCGTCTTCGAGTTGTCTGCGATCGTCGTCCATGGGTGACACGTCACGCATCGAGCGGAATTTTCGCGGTAGGTTAAAAGAGGAGTACTGTTCCGGTTCCGGAGAGCTGGGAGGCGATATGTCTTCGTATGCGGAGGGCGATCTGCCGGTGGGGTTGTCGTTATTGTAGCAGAGTGTGTCTTGTGAGTAGATGGAGGAGGCCGTGGGTACTTCTGAGGCTCTGTAGTTGGGAGGTTCCTGGGGAGACAATAAACTGCGAGACAATCAGCGGTAAGTGAGCAAACGAAATTGCGATACTTACTGCGATAGTTGAGGGAGCGCATAATTATGGTGACTGCCATTTTGCAGGTCGGTCACTTTGGGATTGCGCTTCAGTTGATCCTCGTCATAGGTGGTTTCAAGAAGTACGGGGTTTCCTATTTGCGCATGCCTCTCCCTATCTCGGACGGCGCCCTGTAATCGTTTCCACATTATGGGCGAATCTGCATGAAACGAATATTAGCCCGGCTCGATATTGGTGCAAGTATACATAAGCATCACGAAGTATGGAAGGCGGTATTCTCAGCGGCCCCGAGCTACTTATTTCAGCAAGCCTCTCCTTTTCGCAGCAACCTCAAGAGCCATTGCACTGATTGCATGATTGTTGTATGCTTTTTGAAACCCATCGACATCGCGAGACTTGGCCCGGTCCTAGATCTGGTGGAGATAGTTGTCGGTGCGGGCGATAGGCGAGAGACATGGACCGTCGATCAGAGATGCGGAGGGGCACTACCAGATGCCTTTACTGTATCTGAATGACACAAACACCAGCTCTTTCTGTGCAACCTGGCATTGCGTCCCATCCCAGGACCGGATTGCATGGCAAGCGTATAAACCAACGGGCGATGTCGAGGACGCAAGTACCAAGGCCAAAAGAGCTGGTGATGAGATAAGGAATATGAGTACGTACCGGGTGTAATTATGCGTAAAGAAAGAGGTGTGGAGTTGGTGTTGACTGTTTGTGTTGTTGTTGTGATGGTTGATGCCAGATTAAACAAAGAAACAGCACGTAAGCTTCAAGCCGTGAATCCTTCGGGCGCTGCAGCAGCACCGAGGGCGTAATTTTGGTAAATGAGGGAGGGCGACCAAGTCGAGGTAGAGTTGTCGACGGGTATCAGTGCCGGCCCAGTGCATCTAGGAGAACACCCCACAAACACTCGCGAACTGCGCCTCGACCAAAGCGCCAGCGGCAGGATATCGCACCGGTGCCGCAAGTCTTTGTCTTCACACAGCGGTTCGACAGCAGCGAATTGGTTTGCGACACAATGTTTGGACGGGATAGGGCCGAGGCGCAAGAGGCGGCGTGGGCGAATCAGCGCGTCCCAGCACGGTGGAAATGAATCGCTGTCGCGCGTTTCAGGGCTGGAAAGGGCCCTGTTTCAGAGGCAGCGCGGCAGGGATGGGCTGGATGCAGCGGCGCGATGCTCAACGTCTGCGCGCAGATGGGCGCGTGCTTGCGGTTGTGCGGTCACGGTGCAAGTGGAGTCGAAGTATCTAAGATTACCATGGCGACTCTCCGGTGAAAGAGAGCAGCCGTCATCATCCGTGGTTGTGCAGGCCGGTGGCTATGTCTCACATGCAGTGCCGTGCTTCCCAGCTGTGATGGCGCCCCTTTGACGGGCAGATGGCAGGCCGCATGCGATTCAATCGTCTGTACATATGTCTCGATTCGGCCCTTGCATGTCAGCCGGCGGACGTCCGTGATAGTTTGGCATGGATGGCTGGTTAGTGCTGAGAGAGTCTTTGGGGTTGCATCATCGGCTGTCATGTCGACCGAGCTCCCCGCCGACCCTCGACCACGCCAGCACCCTTCACCGTCACCACTCTAGCACAGCTGTAGCACATCACCCGCAGCCATGTCAGATGGTATGTCTCTACAAGAGCCACCTTCTGGGACAACGTCGCGCTAACCGCAATAGCACTCCCATCACCTCTGCCGGAGCCAGCGGCAACCCACGCGTAAGCAACCAGCTCCGCTCCTTCACCAACACCTAGCTCACAGCCCTCCAGCGCCTCCGTCTTCACCCCAATAAACATCATCCTCTTCTCTCTCCTCGGCCTGCTCGTCTATCTCCGCCTCAAGCCAGCCGCCCCGCAAACCCTCCCTCGCGCCCCGCCGCCAACCGTCTTCCGCACCTTCACCCCGCCCTCGCTCTTCCCCTACAATGGCTTGAACAACATGCCCGTCTACCTCGCCGTCCGTGGCCGTGTCTTTGACGTTACATCCGGTCGCAACTTCTACGGACCTGGTGGCCCTTATGCAAACTTCGCTGGCCGAGATGCCTCGAGAGGCCTCGCCTGTGGTAGTTTTGACGAGGACATGTTGACCAAGGATTTGGACGGACCGCTGGACACTCTCGAGGGTCTGGATGCCGAGCAGATGGATGCGCTGAGGGGATGGGAGGAGAGATTCGAGGAGAAGTATTTGGTTGTGGGCAAGCTGGTGCCTGTGGGTCATCCCGAGGCCGAAGACACCAAGGCGTAGACCCGACAAGACAGACGTCTAGCAAGAATGCTGTGGAGCCTAAATCTGCCTCATTGAGGCTGAAGGAATGGTATCCGTTCGCCATGTGTCGCCGCGCATGGTCCTGTAACGGTTTGCGATCCGATAAAACCGTCATGCCATATATACTACAAGCCTGTGCCAAAGCAACTGCATGTACACGGATCCAGCCAAAAGGCACGTAGGCAAGGACTGAAGGGGTTTCTCGGTTTCGAAGGGCTCTCTAACGTGAAATCAAGCATCTTCATATTCTTGTAATGGTTTATCGTACGCCTTGACACCTAGCACCGGACCAGTCTTAAGTGAGAGTTGATGAATGCATGGCTTGAACATAGCCTGCCCCTAGTACAACATCTTAGCGTAACCGCCCGAATGCGGGGTTAGCTCTGATAGGCAATCAAATCCCACTTACCTCAACACGACTGATAGCAGACTCACCGCGCTTGTAGCGTCTCTTAGTTCATGCTTCCCATCCTCTCCCCGATGTCATAACGACGCCCTATATGCTTGGCGGGCGCTTTAGATATCAAATACATCCAGACCATCTGTTTGACACGCCTTGAAAGATAATCGAATACAACCATGGATCAACTTAGTCTTGTCGATAAGCCACTAGCATGGTTGCTGCTGCTGGCGGGGGTAATTGTTCTGGCATTGTCCCAGCGAGGTCGACTACAAAAGGCTGTCAGTGTATGAAGTCTCCAGTATTGCATCTTCCCTTAGAGACATTGATAACAACCGGTAATCCAGAGACCTTGGCGGGCGCCGACAACATCACCAAGCACCAACAAACTCGAGTCTATAAATCCAGAAGCCGTATACAATGCCATTACGCCGCTCCCAAACTTCAACCTCGAAACAGAAGCACCTCTCAAGCTTCGTCCTTTCAAACCGAAGTTTCATATGACCATGGGTAGCGTCTCCATCATGAATCTTGAACACTATGACAAGCACTGACACAGATGACATAACAGCTCTTGAGAACACCACCCTAAATAACCTCCTAGCCGTGGACAACACCTACTGCACACGTTTACAAATTCGAACGAAGCTCCTCAATCAAGAACACCACGAAGTCATTGCGTGCAACCCAGAAGCCGTCCCCGCAGTCCAAGAACTCTACGAATGGCTCATAGGAACGTACCTACCCCAACGCTTCCCAAGCCTATACCGCATCACAGAATCAGGCAAACATTTGCGGAACCACGTCACAGATACCCTCATCCCACTACATATGCCAAACGGAGAAGAAGCACTTGAGATCTTAGGTGCGAACATCGATACGGAATTCCTTTTACTCACTCCCTCTCCTCCTACATCTTCGCCTACTGTTCCCACGAAATACGTACTAACGGCCTTTGTAAACTGCTTTCCAAGCGGCTTCAACACACGCTCAAAACTCGGCCAACTCCTCGCTGACATCCACGCTCCCGTCCCCGGGTACGCGGCAAAGCTAGAGAAGAGCATGGATCGCTTCTTTGCCAATCTGCCTGTGGGCAAGATCGTTAAGCGGAGTAATTGGAGCATCAGTACGAATGGGGAGCTGTTCTGCTTGCAGGGTAATCATATGAGTGAAGAGGAGATGCAAAGAAAGCAAGAAGTGGAGGATGTAGAGGAGATTGATCTGAACAAGTCGGTAGTAAGGTGTGAAAGGCAGACGTTGCATCGTTTACCAAAGACTGGAGCACTGGTCTTTGCGTTCAAGGTACGTTTGGCTGGCTTTGCTAGCTGGATTCGGCTAACGAGAACAAGACCTACCAGTATCCCCTACGTGAATTGAGGGACGAGGGAAGTGGGCAGGTTCTTGCGGAAGCTATCGACGGCTTGGGCCTGGGCAGCGTACCAGCCATGACTATCTACAAGCGTCAGGTCGTTTGGGGTGATAAAGTCAAAGCGTTCTTGAGAGGAGAGATTGATGCTTGAAGTATAGACAAGATGTATAGCACATTGATTATTCCACTACACGCATCATATTGACTGTATCTTGAGATACCGGGTGCCCAATATTATACATGTGAACTAACTTTCCACCTCATCACCTTTCCTCCACCGAAAATTTCACATGGATCGGGAGTTCTTCTAGGGACGTCCAAGGCCGATTCCACAAGAAGGCCCACCCACAAGCAAGTGCACAGCAGCACTTACTTTTCGATCCGAGTCCACCACACATCTGCTCCATTGATTGTCGTGTAACCGGTAACCGTGAAGTGAACCATGGTCGAAAGTTGTAAATGAGCAGCGCCGTGAGACTCAAACCCAGTGGTACCCGACCCCACGGTAAATGTGTCCTACTCACTCCGTAGACCGATTACCCTTGTCTATGTTCTCCGCAGGCTCCATCTCCGATACTGGAAACCAGTCTGATGGCAGCCTATAAGGTCCTGTGTTAGTTGTTCATACTCCATACACCAAAGTCCAAGCCCTTGCCCTAGCCGTCTTCTTCGAAGACGGTCCTTATTTTCACGCTCAAAGCAAAGAAGCAGAACAACGCCAAAAGTCAAGAAAATTGCAACGCTGAAATCCATGTTGTAGAGCTTACCGACGAATAGTGGAGGTACCAACTGGATTGCCACGTTTCATCATGGGTGGCTTGACGACAGCAGACTTTGCAGGTGTGGCGGTCTTAGGCGCGGGGTTCTTACTGGCGAAGAATTTGTGCGCGAGAGCTTCCTTTGGCGATAGACGCTTTTCGACGTTCATGTGTAGACTTGCGCTCAACAGATCCGCAAGATCGTTCAGCTCGCCCACGGTAGGTCCTCCAGTGGAGATGCTTCGGGCAGCTTCATGAACTCGCGTCTTCATATCGCGGTTGATCTTCTTCTGCTGTTCAATTTTACGGACAGAGAGCTTTGGCTCGTTAGCTTTACCTCTTAAAGGGACAAAAGCGCTTACCTTGTTGTACTGATCCACCTCCCGACTGATGAACTTCAACGGTGGACCCAACTCAAAGTTATCGAGAATATTGTTGACGAGACCCTTCTTGAGCAGCTTCTCGCTTGGCCATCCCAGACAGTCCATAAAAGACTTGATCATCTGGTTGTTAGACCGTCCGGTAAAGAGGATTTTACCAGTCCATAGCTCATACACAGTGCAACCCACAGCCCACATGTCGACAGGATAGCCAACCTCCATACCAAGTATGATCTCGGGTGCGCGGTAGAATCGACTAACGAGGTACTCAGTGCGCTCGATCACGTCTCGCTTGTCGACAGCGGTACCGAAATCGGCGAGCTTGATAGTTTTCTTGTCAGCAGAGACTAGGACGTTGTCTGGCTTTAGATCAAGGTGGATGACCTGACAGTTCTGCAAGTGCTGGAGACCAAGAAACATCTGACGCGCATAGATGCGGACAGCTGGAAGTGTGAGGCCGTGGCCGTTGGTCTCTTCCTTGAGCAGGTCTCGCAGGTTCTTCGACATGTGTTCGAACACGATGCACAGATGGCCCTTGTGGTCGAAAGAACCCAATAAGCGAATAATGTGACGCTTGTCCTGTGGGTCTGCCTCGTTGACTTTGCGCAGGAAGTCCATTTCCTTCTGACTGGCTCTTCTCATCAAGTCGTTCCGGCGAATCATCTTGATAGCGACTATCCTGGGATTTGAATCTCCGGTGTCAGCCCTGACTTCTTCAGCTTGTGCGACGTTGGCAAAGACACCACGGCCAAGACCCTTGATCATGCGATAGCGTCCACCATCCACTAGCTCGTTGCTGATCAGTTTGTAGTAGCCTTCGGGGTCGTCCCAATTGTCGAGCAGCTTCTCGTCAAGCACAGTGCCTTTCGCAACAACAGCCTCCTCAGTTCCGACATCTTCTTCCTCGTCTTCGTCATCAGAAGCGAACATGTCGAACTCTTTCTTTTGTTTCTTGACAGGTGCTACTTTCTCAGCTGGAAGTGTAGAGAGGGCTTTCGGGTCGGTCTCGCGGTACGCATCCGAGGATACTTCGGTGTTCTGGTTCTTCTTGGCAGCGCGATCGCGGTCGTCCAGCATGTCCTGTAGCGGGTCGTAATCCGCCGCGGATGGACTCGCTACCGCAGGACTGTTGCCCTCGCTGATTACGTTCTGTTTGTCGATTACCATAACGTCTGGTGAAGCTGGTACGGAGTCGAGGTCGCCATTACGGGGCGATGCGAACGGTGAGATGGGACTGTCGGCGTGGGCCGCTGGCGATCCGACATTAGGGGTTGCCGCTTCAGATGCATTCGTCAGCACAGCCTGCTGAAGCAGACTGTCTTTCGGCTTCTGTTGCTCAGAAGCAGCGGCGCGTATAGCAGCCCAGCGGCGACGTTTCTCTTCACGCGATTCTTGAGTGGGAACTTTCTCTTCGACAGGGGCCGGGGTGTACTCAGTCGTATCGTCAACGGAGGTCCTATTGCAGAGTCAGTTGTGTAGAGGAATCATTTGGCACTGGGTACACTTACATCTCAACATCTTCTGTCACGCTTGCCTTGTTCGCCTCGGCCTTGGGGCGTTCTGACGGTGCCTGTTGCTTCTGTGGCTGCGACTGACGAGACTTGTCGCGCTGCTGATCTCCGTGACGCGAGTTCTGTGGTCGCTTGTCGGTAGGCAGCGGCTCTCGGAAGTCTGGCACGGGGTTGGGGTTCTCGACTTCGGCGTATGATATGGGCCTGGCGTGTGATCGGTCTGGTACATCCTTCTGTTCCTTGACAAAGCCTCCCTGGTAAGATCCTGGAGCCCGCCGAGGGTCACCGTGTCTGCTACGATCAGCATGATACCGCTTGTCAGGACGACTGCGCGGCGGAGAGGCCTTGCGCTTGTAGCCCCTTGCATCATTCCCAGTGTGGTCGGCTCGGCTTCGTCGATAGGGCGATGGCGATCGGTCGACGGCGCGGTTCCTCCGATAGGGTGACGGAGAGCGTGATGGGGTGCGCTTGCGGCGGTATGGCGAAGGGGAGCGACTCAATGCGCGGTAGTTATCATAAGCACCATCCAGTCCAAAGGACCTGCTTGAGCCGTTAATCGCAGGTTCGTCGCGCGAGTTGACTGTGTTTGCCTTGTGTCGGGTATCCAAGACCTCGCCCTCTGAAGCTGAACTTGAGCGAGACGCTGCCATGTTGGCTCTTGCTATGATGCTGGACCGCGCTATCTTGCTTCAGAAGATAAATTCTGGCGTCAGCTTGCTTCTTGTTGATGAGAAGATTGAGTGTCTCTATCACTGACTGTGTAGCAGAGAAGGAGAGACAAGCGCGACCGCACCGAGATGGTGAGTAGGAACGCGCTGGTGATGGGTGAATTCGTCGTGGTCTCGTCGCGGTTGGCTTCGCGATTCAGCGGGGAAAGTGCAATGAAGTCAGAGCTTTAGGCATTACCTAAGCAGGCACGTGACCTAATAATCCATCCCTCAGCAAGACCACGTTTGCCTCTCCAAGCCAGCGCTCAATGTTCTCGATATCATCTCGGTCGATTGGTCAGGTTATTTAATACAACAATATGTAGTGGAAGTCCAAGCTTTTGAGCCGTTGGGATGTTTCCCAAGCCCGCCCGAGTGACTTGACGAAGTGCCCAGGTGGACTTACCCGTACGTACTCTACTCCGACGTTTATAGAATTACCAACCTTACGAAAGACTTCGTAGCGGCTAGAACAAGACGTCTGCTTTGACCAGACGCCGCTTCCGTTGACGCAAGCAACGGCCAGATGAAATTTACCCAGTTGTATGGTCCTGGACAGCGTCAAAAAGGGTGTGTATGCTGGTAAGGCGTCCAAGGACAGTTCATGATCAACTGACAGCGCACTTGTGCCTCATCGTGCCGTGCTTTCTTGCTCTTTCCGCTTTGCGAGGGGCCAAAGCGGCGATGGTCTGATTCCCGTGATTCATGTCGAAATCCACGACAGCAGTCCATGACTCTTCGCAGGGGAGTTCCACAAAACGACTTCGTTACGGGTTGTAGTTGCTGTGTCACTGCCCAATATCAACTGGATCGCCTGTAACAAATAGCATCGGATGCATCCCGCCGAAAGTATCCTCGCCTCGCCTCGACGCCTACCGAGGCTGTGCAGCCTTTGGTGACGGGTCTCATGCGATGGGGCTAAGCACCCGGTGTTGCGCCTCCCTCCGTCTACCTTGGTAGCTTACGCGCACGAAGATCTTCCGCATCTAAGATTCGCGAGCCGATCCATGTAACAGTAACATGCCGGTTGTAGTCCAGTAAGCCAATGTCTCTGGGTAAGGTAGGCGAGTTGTTTTTTTCGATTCTCGCATGCCGCGGAAATGCTTCAAGCATGATCACCATCAACATTGTGAACGAACGCATGTTATCCTTGCCAAACGACTATCTAGGTCGCATTGCATAAGTACTCTAGTATTAGAGTAATGTTGTCTATATTTGTTTTAATTTTAATTAAATTTAACAATTTATTTCTTTAGTTCCTTATAGTAATATATAATATAAAATTACGCCTAGTAAAGCCTTTTTTATTATTATTATTTACTACTACTACTATTCTTAATCTTATACGCACTTAACTATTAAGACTAAAGTAATCTTACTTAATACTTTTAATATTTAAGTAAGGTTTTTATTACTAAATAGTACGTCTATAAATGCCTTTTTACTTACCTATTATTATAGACTAGCCTTAGAGTTAGAATATACTAAGTATTAATAGAATATTATAAAACTTAGAACTTAAGAGGCTACGTATAAAATCTAAAGGTTTATATAGTAAGTTTAGACCTTACTTATACTTTTTCTATTTTAGCCTAGACTTAAGTAAAGTCTAAAACTATTATATACTTTTAAACTTACTTTTATTATATTAGTTAAAAAAGTAGTATAGTATTATAAAGAATACTTTTATGCTAAAGTTATAGGCCTAATAAGTAATACGTAGAAGTAGATCTATATATATAAAGTTTTTAGACTATATAAAAATTTTATCTATATAACTTCTACTATACTTATA